ATGCTCTCATTAATAATCTTATACTTACTTTCTTGGTGCCACGTTAAGACAATGCCGTGCATCGAGTTTTAAATCCAAAATATTTGGATCATGGGCACCTTGACTAAATGCTACACGCAATGAATACTCTTTCTCGCCAGAAATTCCACGAAGACGTTAAAGTTTATACTATTGGACCTTCTTACGCTCATGCAGAAACTCGCAGATCGCCCGCAATTGATGGAATTGTAATGAGGAATACTGATGGAAAAGAGATTAGATATATTACAAACCTCACTACAAAAGAAAAAAAAATGGCAAAAGATATAACTTTGGCTTTTGGACAAACTGTTTGTGGATTTGATTTGTTGAGGGTCCACGGAAGCTCTTATGTTATTGATGTTAATGGATGGTCTTTTGTAAAGGGAAACGATGATTATTATAGTAATTGTGCAAAAATTTTAAGAACAATGTTTTTTAATGCTGTCAGAAAAAGAAAAATTAGCATTGATTCCATACCAAATGAATTGAGATTCGAGAATTCGTGGCGTTTAAAGTCATTCATCTCAGTATTTCGACACGCTGATCGTACACCAAAACAAAAATTGAAATTTAGTTTTAGTAGTAAACCGTTTGTTGATCTGTTAAAAGGATCTTTAGAAGAAATTATCTTAAAGAATGAAGATGAACTTAAACAAGTATTTGAGGCTACGGTTGAAGCAATCAAATTAAAAAGTGAAAAAATTTCGAAATTGGAACAGCTCAAATTAGTTTTACACATGAAAAGTGAACTACCAGGAACTAAAGTTCAAATAAAGCCATCTTACAATAAAGAAGATGGAACATTCACAAAGTTGCAGTTGATTGTAAAATGGGGTGGTGAGGTAAGTATTTTTTATTTCACTGTTGATGAGACATTTGGATTATACATTTACTTTATTTAAACTTTTAAAAAAAATAGTTTACACATTCTGCTCGTTATCAATCTCGTGATCTTGGTGAAAATCTACGCAAAGATTTACTAATATTGAATCGAAGTATACTTGATGATGTTAAAATATATTCAAGTTCTGAGCGTAGGGTCAGTGCTACAGGTATGCTCAATAACGCCAACAAATTTAACATTTAAATGAAAATTATAAGAATAATTATTAAATTATACATTAATTTATTTTTGTTAGCGGATTTATTTGCCAGAACATTTTTGAATACCGATGATATTCCGGAAGAAACTATTCAGAAATGTAAAAAGATGTTAGATGATAGTAATGAAGCCAAAGAACAAATTGACATTGTAAA